TCTGCTGTGCACACCTCCAAACCCACTTCGGCCCGCCCTTCCGAAATTCTGAAATTCGCACCCTGCGCGATATCGCCCGAAATGGAAAAGAGGCCGCCGTCCATGAAAACGGCCCGCCGACCGCTTTTCGTGACCACTGGTCTGCCCCCCTCCAACCGCACTGGGCCTACCGGTCTCTGCCCCGACAGCGACCGCACCCTTCGATTACCTGTGTTACCGCCCTATAAACCCCTTTCGCCGTCGTCGACATTTCCTGAAAAAGGCCTCCTCGCTAGCCCAGCCAGGAGGCTGCCAACTTTCTTACGTTATTTTGGCGTGTAAAAAAAATAAAAAAAATCCATCTACTCTTTTGGGCCTCCTCACCCCTGAGATTACGCACACACAGTCCTTCGGGGCATCTTTTGGAACGCTACAGAGAAGATTAGCATGGCGCCTGGGCATTTCAAAAAAAAAAAAAGAAAAAAAAAAAAAGGAAAAAAAAAGATTACGCACACTTGCCCCTGGGACCACCACACGAGGACCTGAAGTCCCCCCCAAAAAGGCCTACCCAAATGCCTCCAAAATTTTGAGAATTTTGGTCTTCGTGTGAGTATGCCCTGAGTACCCAGTGCAATGCAGTGCAGTGCAGTCTAAACGAGGCTCATAGCCCGTGGTGTACGTATTCTCGAGATCGGGACTACCTCTCCTCTCCTCCTCTCTTCTCTTCTTCTTCTTGTCACGATTTACCAGTAGGGCCACCAGCACCCCTGCAGTGAGGCATGGGAAGGGAAGAGCCGGTGAAACTGCAATGAAGAGGCGGTGAAACTTCAATGAAGAGCTGGTGAAACTTACACTTAGAAGAAGCAGGGTAGAGAGAGAGAGAGAGTATTGATCGTCGCTCACCATGGCCACGTCTGTGACTTCAAGTTCGCCGCCGGTACCTTCGTCTTCCTCCCATGTCGCGGTTGGAGCGGGAGGAGGATCGGGAGCGGAATTGCCATCGGGATCGGGATCGCCATCGGGATCGGGGTCGGCAGCTTCCAATCGCTCGATACCGACTGCTCAGTTCGTGGAAGACGTCGAGTCATTTATCGCGGGGAAGGATGTGGATGCGACGCTGAATCAATTGAGAGAGAGGTAAACCTTTTTTTTTTTTTTTTTTTTGCCCTTATAGTATGTGTTTCATCTCTTTTTTTGTTTTGTTTTTTGGGGTAGAAAAAGCAGTGAGGAACTAGCGTAAAAAAAAAAAAGCATTGCAGGTAACGACTCCGATTACAAAAGTCGTCTATGTGTACTCTTTCTTCTCTCTTCTCTCTCTCTCTCTCTCTCTCTCTCTCTCTCTCTTTCTTGGCTATGGAGTATGGAAATTTCAGGCGCGGCTTTTTTTCTTTATGGGTGCTTTTCTATTGCGGGGAGTCTGAGAGAGACGCAGATCTATTTTCGGTGGGTGAAAGTTAAAAATCGTTTTTTTTTTGTTTTTTGTTTTTGTATAGGCATATCGCATATATATCGTCATAAGAGAAATGCCTGCGGTAAACCATAGCCAGAGAGGGAGAAGAAGAGGAGGAGGAAGAAGAAGAAGAAGAAGAAGAAGAAGAAGAAGAAGAAGAAGAAGAAGAAGAAGAGTGAATAGTGAAAACAGTGAAGAAGAATAGTGAATAGTGAAAACAGTGGCCAACTGGCTTTCGTACACGCTTCCAAAGCTGTTCAATACATAGCCGCACATACTCATCTCAGCTCACGCGCACATTCCCCGACGGGTTTCGATCGGTTGCGCTCCGATCCTCCTCAAGGGGCTAACCTCTTGACCCTGCCTTGCGGCCCGCCGACAATCCTCCCGTCTTACTGAGGAGGAAGAAGAAGAAGAAGAAGAAGAAGAAGAAGAAGAAGAAGAAGAAGAAGAAGAAGAAGAGAAGAAGAAGAAGAGGAAGAATAGTGAAAACAGTGGCCATAGACTGCTTCTCGTACAAACATCGATAGATATGCATTACTTCTCCGCAGAAGGAGAATTGAATTGAAATAGCGAGGCCGATCGCTACGCGTCCATGTCCATACGAAAGGCATAACAGCACCTACACGGACAACAAGCTCAGCGCGCACATTCCACGTCGCGCGTTTCGCCTGGCTGCGCACCAGGACTTACGTATCAAGGGGTTGTGATAAACAGAGGCCATAGACTGTCTTTCGTGCCCTCTTCGACATGTATAGTTCCATATTCATCCGCTTGCAGCAGCAGTAGCAGCAGCAGGAGGAGGAGGAGGAGGAGGAGGAGGAGGAAGAAGAAGAAGAAGAAGAAGAAGAAGAAGAAGAAGAAGATGGCCATAGACTGCTTCTCGTACACGCATCAACAGATTTACATTTCTTCTCCGCATGCACAGCTCTCAGAAAAACGCGCAATTTCCCCGACGCGTTTCGGGCAGGCTGCGCTCCTGGCACTCACTCCTCAGGGGGCTTCTCCCCAGATCCGCCTTGTGGGACCACCACCAGACTTTCCGACCAAGCAACTGACATATATAGTTCCATATTCATCCGCATGCAGGAAGAAGAAGAAGAAGAAGAAGAAGAAGAAGAAGAAGAAGAAGAAGAAGAAGAAGAAGAAGAAAAGCGATGACCAATTGCGTCTGCACACGCTCAATAAAGACTGCAGTAATCTCAGACGGCTGTGAGGATCTGCAAGAGAGTGCTGCGACAGATTTTTACACCCCCCCCCGGAGGAGGGAGGGAGGGAGGGAAGGGGTGTGAGATGGGAGGTAGTCGGCAATGTTCTGCTAATCCAATTCAATTTGTGTTTTTTTTTAGTACGATGCTATCATATGTATGAGCAATGGATAGCGAAAAAAAAGAAAAAGAAGTAAAAGGAAAAAAAAAAAAAAAGTGTAAAAAAAAAAATTGAAAAAAAGGAACAGATCTGCAAGCCGAGGGTACCCATTT